GGGCTCCGTGACCTACCCTCGGCTCCCTCACTGGCTTTACCCCTGCTCACAGTGGGCTCTCGCCCCTTTTACCACCCTATGGAGTACTCTGAAGTGGGCACTCGCAGGCCATGTGGGTCTTCTCCCTCCCAGCCTCCTCTGCGCCTGTCTCTACAGGGATGGAGTCTGCAGCTGCTGGAAGAACCCTGTCTAAGGATCGGCAAGCCCGTGGTGGGTGCATACTGACCCCAGATGGCTCAGAGGACCTAGGCCCTGTGTCAGTCGCTGGGAGACTGTGGGTGGGAGAAAGGGTGGGGATGGTGCCGGTCAACCCTTGGGCAGTGGGCTTGGGCCTTGGGCGTCTGTCCCCTCCCCCAGCCCTTGTGTACATGGGTAGGAGGTGTGTCCTAGAAGAGAGGCAGGTTCAAGTCCTCCCTCCACACAAGAGCACTTTGTTCTAATAACCTGGCATTCCGTGATGCTCACCTTCCCAACACGATCGCTGAAGACAAAGTGAGTGCATAAGCAAATGTGGTGAAGAGAGTGGATGGTGCCCAGCTATCAAAAGATATAGCATCTGGGGTCTTAAAGGCTTGAAGATAAACAAGTGGCCATCCAGCTTAGAAGAAACAAAGTCCACATGGAAGAAGCACACCAGCCTGTGTGATCATGAAGTGTCAATGGGACCAGGTATCAGGCATCAAAGACCAAGAACAAAAAATCATATCACTGTGAATGAGGGGGAGTGCAGAGTGGAGACTCAAAGCCCATCTTACAAATCTGGCTAGACCAGAGCATATACACTGGTACAGATAAGAGCTGGAAACACAGAGAATCCAGGACAGAAAACCCCCTCAGGACCAATAATGAGAGTAGTAATACCAGGAAGGGGAGGGGGAGGAGAAAGGGGGAACTGATCACAATGATCTACATATAACCCCCTCCCTGGGGGACAGACAACAGAAAAGTTGGTGAAGGGAGACAGCGGTCAGTGTAAGACATGAAAAAAATGTATACAAAAAAAAATGTATACATTATCAAGGGTTCACGGGGGAGGGGGGAGGGGAGGGAAAAATGAGGAGCTGATACCAAGGGGTCAAGTAGAAAGAAAATGTTTTGAGAATGATGATGGCAACAAATGTGCACATGTGCTTGACACAATGGATGGATGGATGGATTGTAATAAGAGCTGTATGAGCCCCCAGTAAAATGAATTAAAAAAAAAAAAGGTGGGACTTGCACGTGAGGATGACTGGTGGGCGTGGCCTGGGAACCCCTCCCGAACTTCATCCTGGTTCCCATCCCCACCCCTTCCGCCCCACCCATCTCCACCCATCCCCAGGCAGGGTGGCTATGCCCTTCGGGGCCCACTCCTTCCGAGGGTCCATGCCTCTAATGGGGCAGGTCAGCGGGACACACCCCGTCGCACCCTCCGTGCTACATCGAGACTCCCCTAGGGAAACAATACAAAATCTCTTTATTACCCCTTGTTTTTTGTTTGTTTAACTCTGGGCTCTCAGAGACCCTGCGGGACAGGATGCAAAGCG